ACCTAACAGGGAAATAAGAGTTCTTGAAAATCTTTTAAAAGACACACTATGAATGAGAGTGCAAAAATACAACAGAAATAATTGCTCTGAATGTGCGTTACACCTGTCCAGACACACATAGGGTACCAGAAAGGTAATTAAACTCCAAAGAATGTTCTTTTTCTTAGGGGAGTATACATATTTCCAAGCTGTCTAAGGTGATTTCACTAAATGAGTATTCTGTTCTTAAATATTCAGCTGGCGGGTTATAGAAGTGTCATGTGAAGTTTCAATTATAAAAAGTAGCAGCTGAGCACAGCTTTGAGTCAGATATGCCAAAAGGCTCCCAAACAGATGGCATGAGCGTGCCTTACTGTACTCACTCTAGAACTAACAAGGAGACCGATATGGTTTCAAAAGATTCAGTAGAAATTCAGAAAAATGTAGAAATTTACTTTGCGAGATGTTTAGCATGTATCAGCATCGAAAGAAAACTGAAGACTACATACAAAAATACTACAACAGTAGCAACACCAACACAGGCAGTTTCACAAAATATGTCTCACTCCAGACATAACAATCCTTATTTTGCTCTAAACTGGAAGCTATTCTTTATTTAAAAATCTGGGAGCAGGCTAAAAGCAGCATTAAATGTAGGGCTTGACAGCATCAGAACATATCATAGTTTAATCTCAGCATTCTTAATATGTTTCTGAGGACATGATGAAGTGCCAGGTTTCAGTTCTGCAAGAACAGTGCCAAGGAATTTAGGTGGTTTATTCAAAAGCATGTTTGTCACTGGAGAGAGGAACATGCTGCTGTCCTAAGTAGCTTAAATTTGGGAGTTATATATCCATCATTTGCTCTGAAATCTCTCAGATTCCAGAACTTCTGAGGCATTGGTAGTCTTTCTTCCTACATATTCAATGCACCCTGAAGATGTTGAAACGTGTGTTCCACAGGGCTCAGCACTGCAGCCAGCTCTGTTCAATAACTTACCAAATATCTGGACGAGGGATCGAGTGCTCCCTCAGTCAGTTTGCAGGGGACACCAAGCTGTGTGGGAGCGCTGATCTGCTGAGGGCAGGAGGGCTCTGCAGAGGGATCTGGACAGGCTGGATCGATGGGCCCAGGCCAACTGCATGAGGTTCAACAAGGCTCAGCGCTGGGTCATGACCCAAGTACAGAACAACCCCATGCAACACTCCAGGCTTGGGGAGGAGTGGCTGGAGAGCTGCCCGGCAGAAAAGGACCTGGAGTCATTGGTCAGAAGCTGGCTGAATGGGCCAGCAGTGTGCCCAGGTGGCCAAGAAGGCCAACAGCATCCTGGCCTGTATCAGCACTAGTGTGGCTAGCAAGAGCAGGGAGGTCATCATGCCCCTGTACTGGGCACTGGTGAGGCCGCACCTAGAATCCTGTGTTCAGTGTTGGGCCCCTCACTACAAGAAGGACATTGAGGTGCTGGAGTGTGTCCAGAGAAGGGCAATGAAGCTGGTGAGGGGTCTGGAGCACAAGTCTGATGCGGAACAACTGAGGGAACTGGGGTTGTTCAGTCTGAAGAAGAGGAGGCTGAGGGGAAACCTTATCGCTCTCTACAACTACCTGAAAGGGGGTTGTGGTGAGGTGGGGGTTGGTCTCTTCTCCCAAGTAACGAATGAAACGGCCTCAAGTTCCGCCAGGGGAGGTTTAGACTGGATATTAGGAAAAATGTCTTCACCAAAACGGTTGTCAAGCATTGGAACAGGCTGCCCAGGGAAGTGGTAGAGTCACCATCCCTGCGGGGATTTAAAATCCATGTAGATGTGGCACTTAGGGATGTGGTTTAGTGGTGGACTTGGCAGTGCTGGGTTAATGGTTGGACTTGATGATCTTAAAGGTCTTTTCCAACCTAAATGTTTCTATGATGGTCCTATGGTGGTCCTATGAAATGGACCACCAAAGAAGTGCCTTAATGAGACATTTAGTGAAAATTATATTCTTGTCTTAGCTTTTTGGTTCAGGAAGTCATACAACTAGATTCATGGGAGAAAACTTACAGCCTTTTAGTAGTATCAAAATGATTTTATGGAATACAAGAAGGGAGCAGTTATTGAATCGGTTATAAACACTAATATCTTTACAATTACAAAGCTGACCATATATTGTATGCCACTGCCAGGTATTCTATACCTCATTATACTTTCAGTAATGTGGCCAGACACAAGTGCTAAGTCCTCACCACAGCCTCCTACTTCTTTTGTACACTCTTAAGTTCCAACATGACAGTAACTGGGGCAGACAAAATTGGATACTTCTACAAGAACCTTGAGATTAAGTGACGTGGATCATCCAAGCAAACAAATCTGAAGCCGATAAAGTATTTCCCAAATGTAACTTACATTCTGAAAGCTCTAAAAATATTTAACCTGCTTATTACACGGGCTTTAAAAAGCTGGTAAAGGAACTTAAAAGTGGAGTAACACATTTGTACAGTATAACATTAAAAACAAACACATGTACTTCTGAAATTGCTTTTAAGTGAAAACATTAGATATTCCCCCAATGCACCATTTTTAGGAGCTCTTAATATGGATCTCAGGGCAACCCTGCAGTCCAGGAGAAAAAAAAAAACTGCAAAGCCAAGTAAAATGTTTAAGCTAGTCAATAATCATGATGCTATGTGTTATTATAAAGACTGAGTACAGAGAAAACCTCACTGTAATTACTCAACAGTTTATACTGGAGTTTGAAAACCTGGTAAAGGACAGGTCACTGAAATAAAGAAATTTATAATGCATGTTAATCACTATGTTAAATTCAGTTAGGAGCAGGTGAGAAACATGAGCTATTAATTTAGAAAGAAAACTGCAAGTTAAAACAGTTGAGGTTTTCTATAGCAACTGAAGTCCTTTGAGAGTCAGTAGGATTGACTCTCCAATAGCTGGGAAGAGATCATTCAGGCAGGAGCTAATCCTGAAACAATCTTGCAGAACACAGGTAAATGGCCCAACAGGGATTCATATACTTAGCTAAACTTTCTCCTTTTCAGAAATCTATTGTGAAATAAAGTATTAAGTCATGAGAGTTTGGAAGGCTATAGCCTGAAGGACTAAACCTTGCAATCTCTCTCAGACAACAGGAAATTGGTTTAATCTTTATACACCCACACACAGGCAGCTCTGCTCCTCAGAAATTAGTTTTCCAGATATAAATGTTCCAGTTTGCTACCCTTCTGAAAGTGATGTACAGGAAGGAGTATCATCATATGCTTAGAGAACTAAACTGAAGCAAAACAGATTAATGTGCTGTTAAGTTACCCAGGAAGTGTTTGGACACATTATTAAAATGGTATCAAAATTAATTTGCAAGACATAATTACTCTAGTCATATTTTATTGTGTCAAAACAGGAAGACCTCAGTGAGTTTAACTCTTGAGGCAAGTTACCTCTGCTGTCCTGCCAAAAGTTACTGAGCTTTAAAAAGAAATCAGACACTTCCAAGCATCCCAGTCCTCTCAACTATGCACAGTAAGACCCTTCCGTCTTGATTTGGACTACCAGGAATTATAATACTTTGATTGCACACTTCCAAAGAGAAGAAATTTTTTTTTTTTTTTTTTTTTTTTACAGGCTTCATGTTAATAGAGACAGCCACTTTCCACAATTCATTTCACCTCAGCCATGTCCTTTGCTCCTTTTTCAATCCCTGCATATGGAAAAACAAAGTTACTGGTGCTGCAAGCCCGACTTTGCAGCCGTCCATACATGCACAGAATCAGAGCAGAGCAGCTGGTCAGTGTTGCATTCCTTTGAGTTTTGCGGTTGCAGGCTACAAAGTGAGGTTTAACCAATAATTGCTGCTATTTTCATACTAGAGCACGCAGGTGCAAAGACAGTGGGGCAAAATGCAGGAGAAGGCATTCAGAAAGTGGATTTGAGGACAGCAAAATAGTTTCGTAGTAGCACAATAACAACAACAGTGTAGACACATGTTGAAAGACAATGGTTACAGACCAGATTAAAAACTCTTAATTAAATATTAAGTTGATTTATAGTAGATAACAGTTTATAGTGCTCTTTTTCAATTGGTTAAAATCCCCTGCATTAAAGCAAGCTATTTATTTTCTCATGTTTATCAACCACTACTCCAATACTGACAGCAACTCCTCAGTAAGCTACACTTGCTATCTGCAGTTTATTCTCATAGCCAGCAGCAAAACACAAAAGGCAAGTTTTCCAATCAGCAGCCAAAACATATATAAGACACATTATTTAAATTTTTCTACCATTATTAGAAGCCTCATCAATGGTATATGCCTGCCAACAGATCTAGAATGACAGAGCTGGACTAGCTACTCTATTACATTATAGAATTCCAACATGAGAAACTCAAACTGTCCCATGGCTGCTGAAAGCAGTAACTTCAAACTCTGTGTCACTTCGGACTATCCAAAACTGTTCAAGGCTTTTTTTGTTGTTTTGAAGAAAGCACCTAAGCATTTTTACAACATACTTACTCTCGCTCTTTCTCCGTCAGTTTGTCATTGATATTATCTTTGATTGTAGACCGGGAGCCCTTGTGTATTATAGGATACCTGAGTGGCACTTGTAAGAAGTAGGATATCATTGAAACCAAGTGAGCTGTGTAGCCCAGGGCAACAGCAATGCTTCCATCATCTTTTGCTGTCAATAATAAAAAAAATACCATTATTTAATCAATTGGATCTCACTGCAGGCTCAGCACAAGTTCACCCTTACTGCTTAGAGAATGATATAATTAATGAAGCTAGCAGAAGTTATAATTTAAGAATAGATGCATGTCTGAAACAAATTTAGACTGCTTCACGACTGTTTGCAGTTCACTACTTGCCTCTTTCATTAAAGGGCAATGTAAAATGGGTGATGGCTTGTTCTCCTTTCAATTTTACACTTTCAAAGCTAAAAGTCACTCTTCTCAACATTTGGCTGGGTGGAGGAGAGTAAAGAAGAGATGGGAAAAGTGAAACAAAATTCCCAAGACAAAATTCAAGTCTTAAACTTTCTGGTTTTCTTTAGACGTAGCGGACATGTACAACTGAGGTCAGGGAAAAGCTGCATTCCTCCATAACTTTATTCATTAGTAAGATCAGTTGAAGAGACATTGACCCCAGGGCATGAACTCTGTTATCTGCCAATAGCTGGAAGAACTTAGATTAACTCATTATTTTAAACTATCATTTTCAATTTGACATTTCAGGTTTTAACCTTAAAGCTTCACTTGCCCGGACTACACACAGGTCTTGCGATTCAAATTACATCCTTTAGCTATGTAAGGGCTTTTACTTTCTGTTTTGCTCTATTTTTCTTCTAAGCAAACACACCAATACAAACAACATAAAAGAGTCATCCCTTCTGAGGCACAAACATCAGCTAAACACAGGACTTTCTAAGAAAGCTTATAACGATGTTCAACGACAACTATGAAATCATACTGAGCTCTATTAGACCACAACAAAACATAAGGATTTAAAAGTTACACTCCTTTCAAAAAGGATTTTGTAAAGTGTTCAACATTTGCAGCAAAACCTGCTTTTTAGGGAATTAATTTTTTTTGATCCTTCAGATGCCTGATTCTTTTTTTAATTATTATTATCAACTAAGAGTTTGAAATAAGATACATGCCAGACAGCTGGTTTTCAAATTTAACCACATATTTCACTAAGTTAAATGCTTAGTAGTTCTTCCTCATAATACATTATTTCTAGAGACTTTGATACAGAATTAGTATTTTTTTTGGTAAGGATTTAATACCAGTAATGGGCTGAAAGATGCACACCACTGATTTCTCAATAATTAGCAAACTGAGTTCATTACCACATTTAGCGCAATTAGAAAAACAAAGCAAAAGACTGGTTTTTGTCATACTGACAAATCAATTTCTTTCAAAGATTATTCCTCCGTTATTATAGCATCCAATATACATGTTGTTAGCACATGCTAATACCTATGGGATGGCTTTAAAGAGTTTGACAGCTGACTGCGGTTTTTGCCCAAGAAACCACACGCCTTACAGACCGAGCAAGTATTGGGAGTGAGAAATTCTCTAGGGGATTTTAATGAAGTTCCAATTCATGTCAAACACTTGTAGATTAATGCATGTGGTTACCTGTACAACTGTTATACAGCCAGGCTTATTACATACACTTTCTTCCGCAGTAGGATGACTGTAGACAGCCAAAGTAGAAGCTGACTTCTAAAACACTCCACACAGTCAAGCAGCTTTAAAGTCTTCCTTATGCAAGATATTTATTTGGTAAGTTCACCAACAACTACAGCAAACTGTATGGGGATGGGGATTCGTGCACCTTGCCTCATCGAGATTTATGGACTGAAAAGCCACAATGGGATTTTAGGTCAGACACAAGTATTTTCCAGAATCACTAAGTTTGGTAGGCACCTCTGGAAATGACGTGGTCCTAGTCCCCTGCTCAGAGAAGGGTCAGCTACAGCAGGTTGCCAGGGCTGTGTCCAGTTGGGTTTTGAGCATCCCCAAGGATGGAGACTCCACAGCCTCTCCGGGTAACCTGTTCCAGCATTTCAATATTGCATCTTAGAAAACAGAGTCAACAGTAACTTCCTTTGTACTAGCTAGGAAGTAGGAATAAATAATGCATCAGTTCTCTTCTAGTCTAGACCTTTCCAGTCAGAAATGTGGATCCTAAGCCAATGCTATCAGTTTACTTAATTTTATGAAGTTCAGAAGCAGTGTCAACTGTAACAACTGAATTAAGAATATCCAGCTACCTTGAAAGTCTTCAGAATTAGGAAGCTTGACTCCACAAACAAAGTAATCCTTTTGATCATTCTGTAAGTTTAAAAATCAACAATGGAAAGTGAGAATGGAACAATAACATCCAGAAAACAGAAATCTTCACAAAATCCAATGACAACAAACCATTTTTGTAAAGAAAAAACTAAATATTCAATGAAACCCAGAGTGACTTTGACATAGTGTTTTAGTCCACATTTCATATAGTTCAGAAATAAATGTAACTTTTTTAAAGAAGGAAGAGCTTCATCTTAATCAATTTATTATATAAATGCTTTTGGAGCTCAATATTTTGTCATCTGTTTATGTGCACTCTGTTAAAGTGCAGCTAGCCTACTGTCAGAGTTACTTTATATAATTGTAAACAAAATGGAAAGTATCCATTAAATTACAGCTATAGCTATTCTACTTTCATAGTGGAGACTATTTGAGAGATGTTGGCATAAGTCCCCTCCCTGGGAGGTTTGCAATGTAAGGACCAAATCCAAGAAAAAGCTGGAAAAAACAGCATGAGTGAAGAGCAAGTTTCATCATGAATAAAACATGATATTTGCTTGAAGTGTAATAAATAGAAAGTTCATTTCATATCAAGCAGATTTTTAGAACAGTAAAAACATACCAGATCAATAGGGTAGATATAGGATAGCTCCGACAGCAATTGCTTGCATCGAATAGTCTGCTGGGCATTTGTCTTCAAAAACAGTTCTCTTTGGGGAAAGAGATCCCAAAAACATTAGTTTCTTCAACAGCTTTAAGTAAAGTTATCAAGGCCCTCGTATCCCTTCTGCATCTTCCCAAGTATCACCTCCCCTTCTCAAAAAAGCTAGGTAATTCCAGAAAGATAATTACAGAAGACTAAGTTAACTTTCAATTGTACTTCATATTGTAGGCATGTTTTGACCATGACAATAAGTATTGCAAAGCTGTGTTTCACCTAAACAGACCTGAAAGTCCTATCGTAGTCTGCACATGCAACCAAGCACGTTTGCTTTTCTCCTAGATTTGCCATTGCTAATTATCACTTTAGATGTCTACAAATTGTAGCAGAAATGGCTTAACAGAAGTTTCAGGGTGACATTAGGAAGAGTTTGGTGCCATAAGACCCACTTCAAATGCCCTAATCTCAGGTCTGTATTTCCTTTCCAATAGCAGAAAAAGCACAGGTCCTTTTACCTCTTAGCAGTGCATTCCTTTCTTAATTCATGCAGGGATTCGTTATGCTCTTGAAGTTTCTGGTATTCAGTCTCAAATGCATTTTCTAAACAACATGCGGAATCAGGAAAAAAATTAGTATCAAACAGTTTCTTAGTTATCTGAAGTTTTAGAATTAGATACTGACACAAATGCTGGCAATAACCCCCCATTTACTCTTACATGCCCATTTTCCAAGTTATGCTGCCAAACTGGGGAATGACAGTGCAGGAGAAACACAAGTCTTCACACATGATACACCATTCACCAGCCAAATACAATCAACAAAACCTCATTCGCCTTTAACACCTGTTCCCCTCATGTCCACAATAGTGGAGTAAGTCAGTTAAGGCATCTCAATACCTGCAGAACGAGAATTAAGTAAATGGCAAAAACCTCATTTTCAGTAGTGACTAATTATTTTAGATTCAGCTAGGTATTGAAGGGGAAAAAAAAAAAGATCCTGCAATGAGATCAGGTATCTGTCTAGCTTGGTCTCTGGTGAGCTCCAGAGAAACAGTGATATAGCATTTTACTATAGGACACTTTCCCAGTAAAACAAAACACCAAGAAGATTGAGCATTTCACCTTTCACTTGCATTGTAAGCTAAGAGGGATTTTTGTCTTCTAACACTTAAAATGAGATCCTAAACACAGGTATAATGACATCCCTCATGACATTATACCATGACTCCATCAAGCCACTGTTTACTGCATTACATTGCAGCGCTTCTGATTTTCTCATAAAATTTAATTAAAGACAGACTTAAGATTGCTTTAGAGAGGTGTCATAGTAAGAAGTTGTTTAGAGACAAGATACCAGAAACTGTTGTCCAGAATTCAGTATAACACAGATGGTGGAAAGATTATATCTGGCTGTAAACTTCAGATAAAGAAAAGCACAAACATTAGAGCCAGACCAAAAAAAACCAAAATCACCTTCATTTTGGTCATCATGATCAAAAGCTAGGCTACTACTCTGCTGATCAGCAGGTTATAAATATCTGCAATAGAAGCAGTAATGATTCTACACTTACCTCTGTCATGCAAAGTGTTTTTCTCCTTATGCAACAAGGCTACTTCTTGACCAAGGGCCTTCTTCTGCCTCTCTAGTTCATTACGTAGCACCAGGATCTTCAACTGTAAACATTCACTCTCCTTTTTCTATCGGAAGAAAAATAGATTAAAAAAATAAAAATTAAAAGTTTTTCTGCACGCAAGCAGTTCCATAAAAGGGGTGATAGAAGGGAAGAGAAAAATAGTCTGGCAGACACTAGTCTTGTCCTAAGGGCTGAGCTCATACATTACAACAGGCAATAGATTACCAAAGACCCTAATCATTTTGCTGCTTTGAAAGGAGAGAAACCCAGCTGTGTCCCACAGCACTTGTTCCTCCTGTGGGATCCATCTCCTCTCCTGTGATGCAACCTGGCCCAGGGCAGAAATTAAGAGAGGAAGGAGGGGTGGGAGGAAGCTTCCGCAGGACAAGTACGTAGAGACTAACAGCAGAGTGCTAGCAGCATGATGAGCATTCATTCCCTGGCAAAGGGTTCAGCAACAAGAGGGAAGATGAGCAATGAGGAGTCTATACTAAATTGAGGCAGGGAGCTGGAAAAGGGTTGGAAATGTCTGAGCTGCACTATTAGATCCAATTCCCAGCTTCAGGGTGAGGAGAAAAAAAAAAGGGACACAAAAGGAACGAACACATAGCAGGGAGCAGATTATGTCATTACACACAATTATATTTGAAGGATTCCTTCTTTAAAAGTGTTAGGATTTGTCCTGTACCTACTCTAAACCTATTCCTGTTTTTAAAAAGAATCTGTTTTTAGTTCAATGCAACATCTTCACTAAGAAATTGTGCTGCCACGTGCTTAGTGAAGCAGAATTTTCTATTATAAGAAATGGTGGGTTTTGTTGTTGTTTTGGGGTTTTTGGGTTGGTTTTTGGTTGTTTTGGGTTTTTTGGGGGGGGTGTTTTTTTTAAGGAAGCAACATCTACCATGTTGATTAGATACTTGTTGAAAGTAACTGGAGACAGATTCAAAATGTAAGAGAGTAATACATCCCTTCAGTTCAATCACACCCCTGATAGAGTTTAAAACTTGAAGGGGCAGACATACTTGCAAGCAAGTCTTGTGCAAGTACTACAAGACACCGTCACTTTGTACAACTGCGCCAGCTTTCACTTTTTCAAGCAGTTAATGGAGATGTTTCTTCAACACTAGCTGCCTGAAAAAGTCAGTTCTTGCTGAACTCTTCCACTTCAAGTTTGCTTCAATTACATATGTATGCTCAGCCTTCTGGTTCAAGACTGCAGCAGGAAACATGACTCAATATTGAGGAATGAAACTATAATTTACACATTTACAAAGGAAGCCCAACAAAAGTTTCCACTATTGAACAAAGGACAAGAAAAATAGGCAATAATTTCCTTGTACCATAGACTATGGTTGCTAAGAAGTTGCATATCATCGTCATTTTTTGTTTTAGTGTTATTCATATAGTTTTGCTCACACATGATTATCAACGAAAAGCTGTTGCACGGAGGGAGAAAGATATCCATAACTGCAAAAAAGATGGTTAGAAACTTTTTAATAGCCAAGATCCCAACAGAAGGCAAAGAACCTCTGGGTTGGAGTCACTCACAGGAGATGTTATGTTGTCCCTTGAGGGAACTGACTTCTTTGCTTCTTTATCTACAATGCAACCCTGTAATTAGAGTGGGTAAACAAACTCCCATTTTTCCATTTTGTCAAACCCTTAAACCAGTTTGACACTTTTGGAAATTAAGTGAGTACTCTCAACCCAGAACCCACCTTACAGAAATAAAATAGCTTCACATCACGAGTTTGCCCTTTCCTACACAAGGCACCAGACACATGCCAGTGAGTACCAATATAATGAAGTCACCACGAGCCACACTTGTTCTGTCATTGCTTTGAACTGAGCTCAGCCTTTCTGGGCAAAAAGTGGAAACTAGCACCAGTACATTTTTCTGGAAAGGGGAAAAGGACAGGCAAAACAAACTGTCAAAAGCTATTCCAAGATCTAATATAATTCCTGCTTAAAATTAACGTGTCACTTGAGTGACAGCTTTTGCATGAATTCTGTTCACCCAAAGGGAGTAGGGGTGCAAGAAGATACAGCCAGTAGACTCACCTCACTAAACCCACCACAGGATCCTGTCAAGATTTATCTAAATCATTAAAGGTTTGGTTTTCCTGATAAACCTCTTTCATGCACTGTGCAATATTTATGCTTTTATAGTATAAAAGCAATTATACAAAATAAAAGTAAACATAGGATAAGTAATCTATCAATCCATCCGAGTAACACACATCAATCTAAAATCCATTACGTTACACTTCGCAGATGAGTTCCTATCTGAAGTGACAGGTTTAAATAAAGATTTCACATTCAAGTGTTAAATAAAAAAAAAAAACAACCTTACGGTCAAGACACCAGCCAGATGCTTCAGCAAGCCTGCAGAATACAGTTTTAAATAATCAAACTTACCAGTTCATTGCTTGTAGATGTACATCTCAGCTTTTCTTCAATCTCCCTTCCTATCTTCTGAACAGTTACCTGAGTCTGTTTAATTGCACACTGAGCTCTGTGAAGCCTGTAAGGAGAAGAGAAAGTTACAGCTGTACTAAGGGTTCCCCACACATCTCCCAATGATGAATGCACCAGCCACCTCAAAACCAGCAGCAGTAATATGAATCCAGATTGTCACCTTCTATTTTGAAATAAAACATTAAAAGAGGAATCATGACTTGCACAGTTATATGAATGAGTATCCAAAGCAAACGAGGAAGTCTCTAAATTCGATCAACTACCAAATGTCCTTTTCATTTGTTAAATTCAATAGATGCCAATAAGGCAAAGCTGTAGGTAAGAGAGCAGGTAATTATAGGGATCTCTGCTACAATTAATTTATAATACTGTTAACATCAAGACAGATACACACATGACAATTACCGTGAGCATTGTTAACTTTCAAAAAATTCAAGTATCCTTTAGATAACACACAGCTACCCAGGCCAAGAGCACAAACTACCCTTTAGTATCTCCAAGTATGCCATGGGCCCTTCGGTAAGAAAAACACTGGTTTCTTAATTGACTCATGTTCGAAGCGTGAAAAGATGATGATCATGATGTGTTTCTGATCATTAGTTCTGGCTTCAGGGTGAAGAGGGAAAAACAATTATTTGCCGTATTTATTAAAAAAAAGAATCAGGCAGAGGAAAGCAATGGCAAAAACAGGTCTAAGAAAGGCATTAACATCTTAAAATTAACATGAGTAGAAGTTAACGTATTTTTTAGGAAAAATGAGAGTTGGTCGGCAGACATAGACTATGTCTTTAAAGGCATGCAAACCCAGGCTTACTTTTCCCATTCATAATTTCACCTCTAATGGCTTCTCCCTTTGTAAGGATAATATTCAGGCAGCCTTACTGCTGGGATAAGCACTTAACCAAAGCCTAGTCAGAACAGCAAAAGCATAGTCAGATAATCTACTGTATGACATTAGTGCTTTGCCAGGCAAACATAACAAAAAGACCAAGCTCGTTTCAATGCACACTTTAATGACCACCTCCGCTTTGCCAAAATTAAAAATCTCTGCCTCTTCATAGCAATGTTTAATTTTACTAAAGCAAGGCTACAAATTTGCTGTGAGCAAGGACCAAAGCACTAGAGCATATAGAAAAGCCTGCTCAGCTCCTTCCTTTCATGTTCTCTAATCTCTTCCAGATTTATAAGCAATTGAGGCATTTCTATTTAAAGGTTTTGGTTAACCATTTTTAACGGCCTGTATGCAGCTAGACCAAGACAACCAGGCTACATGCTTCAGGTATGAGTAACCACAAAGCGTTAATCCTTGTCCTACCATCTCCCCTCAGCATCCCATCTCAAGTCAACAGCACACGATACATACTGGTTAATCGGTGTGAGGACAGTGCCTGAAACACCTAGCCCAGCAAACAAATCCACCGAGGAGATTATACACAGACAACAGGGAACAAGCAGTGCTCATAATATTAAATAAGGTCATTGCAATTTAGGGCTTTTACATGTTATAACTCTAAGTGAATACATTTAAGTCATCAGATGCCTTTAGTTCCTTCATGCTATTGCTTCTCCTAAACAACACTCTGTAGTAGATTTTTGTTTCACATTATGCTAAGTGATCCCACTGGTTTCTTTACAGCTTCTCAGACTGCTTATAGCACATGCAAACCAGTATACACCTTAGGATACTTCTTCAAATTGGTGAATCTATACCTAAAGGTATATTCCTAAGCTACAAATACTGCTATAAAGAATAATTCAGCAATCTGTTTTTAATATGAAACAGTTTTCTTTTTAAGCCAAAAGTCATCCAGTCAAAGCCAAAAGTCATCCAGTCATTTCTTGCAATATAAAAAGAGCCCTACAGTTAAACTTGGCTGCCTTGATGCCAAATAGCACCATTTACATTGAGTCAACCAGTATCACTAAGGTTTTTTTTTCTTGTGATCCCAGTATGTTCACTATTGTTCTAAGAACTTTAAAATGGTAACAGTACGATCATGACCACATCCAAAGTTAAGCCTTCCAAGATTAAAATTTTAGGGACTTCATGTCACAAAAGCAGTAACTATCAACAGATATTTCCCTTCCCCGGCCAAAAAAGCCCCCGCTGCAACCACACTGAAATCTTTGGTCATCCAACGACGGGAATACAAACTAAGCCATAAGAACAACAGGATGGAAATTTTGTCCATCATTTCTGCATGCACAAGACAGACTTCAGTGAAGGCAATTACAATTGCACCAGCGAATGGAGATTAGCAAATTGAGGCCATAAATCTGGATTAAAATTTACATATAATGAATGGAGAGAAACTTCAATGCTAACTGACCGCATATTGTTTCCATTTCTAGCCTGAATGCAAGTCCAACGCTACAGTCTAAAGTTAGCACAATTTATGCTTTCAGTACAATCCGGCTCGGTTTAGTAACTGAAAATGGTGAGCCAACTGGTGGCATAATATGTGTGTTAGCAGGGAATGTAGAATTCTTCCTAGATTGTTCAAGAAGGTTTTTTATTATTTATTATTAAAATTAGCACTTCCATAGCTCTTTAAGAGCTCATTCAGGGCTTCAAGAGGCCACTGGCCTGCTACCAAATTTCCTTCGGCAGTCAGGAAAGCCAAGCCAGTTACAGCAGAAACTCAAGCCTTTATAAAAGGAGAGTTTAGCCAACAGTGTCGTCATCCTGTGTCTGCAGGCTGTTCTGGTGTCTCTGCAGCAGCTCACAGCCATTGTTAGCCAGCAGCAGAGTAATACAAACGTTAAGGGTGACAGATTTACTGCTGTTGCTTGAGGCCCTAAGAGCTGCTATGCAATTGTCCAACATCAGTTGAGTTGCATGGTGCTGCCTGGGAAAGAACTGAAAACCAAAGCAGACATTAGAATTCCTTACCACCCTAATATAGTTTGGAGATGAAGAGCCATGAAGCTGTTGTTCCACTTCCATTCTCATGTCACCTGCTTTCTGAGATGGGAGAAACTTAATAGGAAACAAAATACTCTCCCTTCCTTTGGAAGTGTAAAAGACGGTGGGATAGGTCTTCAAAAACACTAGCCATGTACCAAAAGCTGCATCCCTAATCGATCCAGGAAGAACCATCAGGCAAAAATTCAGTATCTCTCCTCTTCACTTTCTAGTTCCCAGGTAGTTGAAACATGGGCTATTTGGAGTATTTCTCCAAGGCTTTTCAAGTCTGAAATAAAACTGTTCCCTCTTCTGCCCAAAAAAACCCTACTTTCCACCTTGGCTGTAAGATTTGAAACAATTCTAGCATACAATGTTCTGCCAATCAATTCAAAATGGGCACTGACTTGGAAGAAAAACAGAAGTTTGCCAAGTTTTTGATTTCTTCACCATTACAGGATTTCTTTGCAATAACATCCTTGTCTTGTTTGCAAGATCAAGCAGATTTCCTGACGACCCAATGACTGCACAACACAGTG